GCTGGAAACGTATAGGTACGCTCGCGGCACGGGTTGGCCTTATCTGTATTAAATATTTGCAGTATACAAGACGTTGATGAACGCGCGTGCAAAGTCCCATCTGTTTTGAAGTTTTAGTTTAGAACAGTTACTGCTGGAGAAGGCAGTATTCGCGCAGCACGTGTAACTATAGTTACACGCGCTGCGCGTGTAACTATAGCAAAGGGTCTATACGCATAAACAAAGCACACACTCTTGACCTCGGACGGTCCGGAGTCCCAAAAAGGCTGCCCCACTTTCCCACTTTTCGGGGACGAACAAGGGAATACGTGCATCCTTAGGGACTTTTAGCAAATCGTTATCGTGTTCCGTTTGCCGCCCTACAGTAGCCTTTGAAGCAAGCATTTGAGCGCGCGCCCGAAGCACCGGGTGATGCCGTGACCGCGGTGCGCGGAACCATCAAAGCTTCCGATAGTGCGGTACGCGGAACACGGTAACGGTTGGCTAAAAGTCCCCCTTGTCTCGTTATTACGGAAGACCCACACCGTGGACGATTCTCCGGGGAACAAGCACTCCCGTGACAACGTGTTGCGTGCCTCGCACCGACGCAGGGACCGTACAGCCTGCGCAGTTCGCTCGAGTGTTGTCTCAACTCCACAAATATATATATATGTCGTCGCCGGAACGAAAACGTAAAATGCGTTATTTCACTTCTTCGCGAGCGTGGTTGCTTTTTGTCATTGTCTTAAAGCGTCGCTAACTCGTTTTTGTTGGTTGCCGTCTCGAAGAGGGGTCGGTTCGGACGGATTACGCCGGCGTGTTTACGTTTCCTGCGGTCGAGGTTCAAAGGGAAACAGCGGCTCCCAAACGATTGGCGAAAGTTTATTCTTTCGAGCGTGCGAGGAACAGGACCGGCTCGCGATTGCAACCGGAAAGAGTTTGTTGTTCATCTTGAAGCATAGACCTCGAATGTTTCTCTTTGGAAGCAGAATCGTCCGTGGAAACAAATCACGATTTGTGCCCGTTGTGCCCGTTCAACCCGAGGAGGTCTCGAAAGGTCAAATTTTCTACGCGTTCCCGACTTTCAGTTGAAGGCGTTCCAAAGGGGCCTTTGACTTGGTTTGATTTTTATATTAGAAAACTAATATTATCTACGTGCTCGAAGTATTTTATAAATGAAGAAAATAGTTTTACGCGCGGTCTTGTTATGTGTAAAAAGACGCAATCGAAGATTGAAGGCTCGAGAGGTAAATAATTAGCGCAGCTTGTGAGCTGAGTGCCAGAACAATAGACCGCAGCGGTATAAAAAAGGAAGAAACGCAGCGGCAGTTCTCCAAATGTCCTCCATTAAACTAAATCACTTTCTGCGATAGTCTGTTGAGGCCCATAACTCAACCTATGGGCTCTAAGCATCCTAACAGGCAAACACTGCATGCGTGACCTATTTCTCGATCAAAATTGGTAGCAAAGATCGTTGAATTTGGTATTATCGCCGACATCAGAGGGTACTATCGGACAAGGCAAAGAAGGCCTTCAAAACCTCTTCGCTCTTTTTTTTTAACTTTTGTGCGAAGAATGCGGGAGTACTTTTGTTCAGTGCAAGTGACCAGTTGACTTCGACGATGTAAGCCCGCCACACCTCATAGATTATTTCAAGTTCTGTCATCTCTCTTAAAGCGCCGTCCACACATATGCAACCGAGTAAAGGCCCGTTCACACAGTTGCGTTCGGAGCGACCACTACGCTTACGAACGAATGCAACCGGGTGGAGCGACAAGTTACCATAGCAACGAAGCGCCAAACGGTCGTTTCGTTCGTGTTCGTTCGCAACGCAAGGAGTTGAGCCGGGCTGAACTTTTTCGTTACGTTCGGGAACGACGGGAGCGACAGACCAATCACAGGTCAAGGAGCTCGGTCGCGCGCGTTGCATGCCGGTCGTTCCAGGCTCCTTCTATTTGCAAACATGGCGTCGGTGGTGATCGTCGGCAGGACGGTGTGGTGAAGGCTCATCGTTCCCCGTAAAAGGGCTATCCTTGACTGTGAATTTTCGTCGTGTGTCGTTAGGATAACCCAGCACGTACTAGAAGGGAAGATCCACCTACTTGTGCGGCGATCTCGTGGCGGCACTCAAGACAGCAGAAACGCCCGTGCCGTCGTGTTTGTTTACTTCGACTACAGTGGTGCTTTCTTAGCATTTGTGTCCTCAAACATCACCCGGATTTCTTTTTTGGCGCATTCCTTGCGTGTGCTCAAGTTCAAGGTATTACTGGTGCGTCCCGTACAAAGGATGCGAATTTTTTACTCGTTTTCATCGCCCGAAAAAGGTGATTAGTGTTAGCAATCCTGAACGCTCGCATCGTCTGTCAAATTATATTTCTACGTTGCTATATCGTTGCTAAGATTACATCGTCTTTTATAATCGTAAAAAAGGCGTGTGGCGAGATTTGTACTGTTGGCAAAGTCGTGTATTAAAGTCGTGATCGTCCAAGACGGCGTACTGCATCTTTTTCTTTTTTTAATGCACTACCCTGCAAGCGTATCCTGAAATAAAGAGTAATAAAGCTTGAGGTCATAGAAGATGGTCTGTCTATTTTCTGTTACGCAAGTGAGTGGCAGCGCGTCCCCTTCTTTTTGGAGGCACCGCTGAAACAGCTGACGGCAACGGAGAGGCGGTCGCCGTGCTGCCGACCCGCTGCGCTTGTTGCAGTGGTAGCAGGAGTGTACGCGCGGCGCAGAGCGTTCGTTCCGGTCGCTCTGGTCACAACGGACGCAGTCGCGGATAACGGGTTTGTTTTAGATGTCTGAACCAGCCTTTACACAGCTATTGTAGGCGCACAGCAGATCTTCGTGACTGTACGCCGTAGCCGAACCCTCGGGCTGCTCCGGTGAGGACCCCGCTACCCCGCGTCGGGCACGAAACCGTCCGCCATGTTTGTAAGCGTAGCTGGGTCGCTTCCTATTGGCTAGGAGCAAGAGCTGAAGCTCGTTTCTCATTGGCTGTTGCTTCGTATGGTTGCATGCGGTTGCATGTGTGTGTACACGTCGCGCACAGTTGTCGTTGAAGTCGCAGCGGTTGCATTCGTTCGTAAGCATAGTGGTCGCTCCGAACGCAAATGTGTGAACGGGCCTTAAGACCGAGAGAGACCAGACCGGTTTTTAAGCCTCTTGCGACGTCTTAGGACTGGATGCGCTGCAGCGGAGCTGGTCCTAAGACGTCGCAAAAGGCTTCAAACCGGTCTGGTCTCTCTCGGTCTAACTCGGTTGCATATGTGTGAACGTACGGCGCTCCGTTTACACTCTTAGAACCGAGTACGACCGAGAGAGACGAGACCTGTTGAAACTTCTTAAAATTTCTTAGGGCGAGAGAACACACTGGCACTCTGGCGTCATCTATGCGGTGACCCTGGAACTGCATTTCCTAAGAGCGAAGGTTTTGCGGGATTTCCGAAGGTCAAATGTTCGCAATACCTATAAGGAAGGCTCGTTTATAAAGTTGACAAAAGTTTTTCGAGCCAAGAAACAAAAGGATAATGCGCGAGAGAAATAGAAAATATGCTGGACCGCCAAGTTTACTCTGCTACCCAATAGATGGCGCCAGTGTATCCTCTCGTTGTAAGAAATATTAAGAGGTCCCAAGATACCCGGTGCTAAGAGGTCGCAAGTGTGTGAACAGGCCTTTAGCCGTCGCTTTGAGATCTCATTGGTTTAGGCGGCACCATGTGACAAGGCGACGACGGCGGTGACAATCTCCTGGGCGCCGTCTGCTGCAACTTTCATGGTCGCTCCCGCCGCCTAAATTGTCGCTCTCCCCCCCCCCCCCCCCCCCCCCAAACCAATATCAGGAATTCGCCCCCCTAATACCAATGTCTGGTACCGCCTCTGATCTCAGCCGCCAGTTTGACTACGCCACCACTGCCGCAGTGCATCGAGGGTGTCTTTGTGCACGTGCGACGACCTCGCGGGAGCCCTGCGCTTACGCTGGCATCTGCCTACTGTGAAATAAAGTTAAGGGAGGTTCACACACTTGCGTTGAGTACGACCAATGGGAAGGGTTGCTATTGCAACAGCTGCGTCGGCTCCAACAAAACGGGGTAAAAACCGCTTCTTTTGGAGCCGACGTAGCTGTTGGTCATAACAACCCTCGCATTTAGTCGGACCCAACGTGTGTGACCTAACGCTTGGGAGATCGGTATATTGAGGCATCGCGTCGGACAAACCTCGGGAAGGACGAAGACGACAATGACAGTAATAATCCCTGGAGAAGGAGAACAGAAAGGAAAAACACAAATCTCCAAACACAGCTAGGAGTCATCCTCGTCCGGCTCGCATGCACCTTTGCATTCATTGCATTATAATGCTCGGGAAGGTTCGGCGTTATTCTCTTGTGAGCCCCACGGGAGCCACCTGCGTTAGGAGGTGTTTGGTGAGTGGCGTCACCACGGACCTCAAGCCATGCGAGTTCACCCACTCACGCCTGGCTGTGCGTGGCATACCCAGGGAAAAGGGCATTTTGGTGGCTGAGTCGAGCCGGGGTAGGTTTGACCCTTTCGGGGACCCCCGGGCGAGGCAATACACCACTGCGGCCCCTGCTTTTCATAGACGGGTGTCCTTGTAACGCCTCGCCGGGGTGATTTTAGTCCCTCTTTCAACCCTCTTCTACCTTCTTTCTTTTTTTCTTTTTTCTTCTATCTCTTTCCTCCTCTTGCTACCGCGGTCTTCTTTCCTTTTTTTTTTTTTTACCTTCTTAGACGGCAAGGGCCAACCATGGGTGGAAACAGGTCCTGTCCCTGCAGTGCTTATCCCTTGTTAATCTCCGTGGTGTGCAATGCACCCGGGCGCCGACATTTTTTTTTTTTTATTCATTGTAACCACTTTTTGACCAGGCTCTGAAAGAGCCCGCACCGAAGTACTTTTCACTCCTGAGCTATTTTTTTGTTTTCGAGAAATTTCTCAAGTTTCTAATATATCATTCCGGAAGTGACGAACCGCTGGGTGAACTGTCCCATCTCCTTCTTGCTAACATGCTGCAAGGTGTCCAGTTTAGTGTCCTCTACTATAAAGTTAGTGTGACACCTCATCGCAAGCTGAACACTGTCCAAGGAGTCATTTTCGAGGACGACTCGCTGCATAAAACAGACGCAGAGCTGAATGGAGGCCTCTGCAGTCAGGGAGTGGTTGTAGCAAGACGTATCACATCCGCCGTGATGGCACAGAACGTGAAACGTAGCACGCTATCCTGATTTCCGATATCACCACTCACCCGGCCTCTGTAAAAGCAGGCTATCCTTTAGGGCTGTGTTCGACCCCATGTGCCCAGCCCTCAGCGGTGCTTTAGGTACCAACGATTCGGCCATGGTTCGCGTAGCTGTCGCGCAGCCGACACCTGTGCGAAGTGCTGCTCAGTGATGATCGTTTAGTATCGTTCAACCGCGTTTTAGATTGTCTCGAGAAACTGGGTCATTTAACGCAACTTTTCGTTTTTTTAACTCTCATTACATTGCTATTCTTGATTGTTCTAAACTCGACTCACTTGGCGCAATTGACCTCGGTAGCTCTCGCGCCATTAAACCCATAATCGACAACCCACCTTGGAGCATGTCCGGCTTTTTCCTTCGTCAGCCACCAGGAGGACACCATTAGCGTGTCGCGGATGCCACACACTCGGACCATGATATTTTTTCAAGTGGCCACATGAGATTTCGGAATGGGTGGGCGCCTCGCGGAGGGGGTGTGGTCATTGACGGGGCAAGAACGGCACGGAGGCCTTTCCGTCGTCCCTTCTCCAGCTGTCCTCGATAACACTCGGTCGTCTCGTGAGCTCACAACGTGCACGACGGAAGGCAACAGAGTTTGAGGCATCCGAAAGAGATTTCCCACAATTGACTGTCGCATTCCGTCCTCAAGCTTAAAGGGACACTGACAAAGTATTGATGCTCGCCAAGGTTTTTATTTGTGCATGACATACGAGAGCCCAACTACCCGGAACACAATTTGCGGCTCGAAATTCGTGTTCTTTCCGCCCGAAAACCACCGATCGAGAACTGGCAGGTTTGAATTGCACTCACTCTCTTCTCCGTGCTACGAGTCGTTTTCTATGGTTTAGAGACACAACCGTCAAAGATAATCAAAGTCATGGGTCATCGAAAGGACAGACTCAATGCTAGAAATAGACAAAAATACAATACCCATTTTTGGGGGCTCGTCAAAAACTGTAAATACGTTGCTTGAAAAAAAAAAAAAAAGTTGCAGAGCCGCGTGGTTTTTGGTAACTTTCTCACCCTCTATATTTCTTCTTCCTCCCCAGTCAAATTTCTGTTTCAGTTTCGAGCAGTTACGTTTTTTTTCTTTATTAACAATATACGTGACGCTGTAGCAAAATATTGATTGTGTCGTCTCCTGGCTCCATTGTGGATCGCCTGGCAAAAAAATAAAAACATTTTTTTTAGTGGGGGGGAGGGGGGGAGGTTTAGTGTTTTTTTAACTTATGACGGTCCAGTTACTTTTTTCCCCAAAAGACGTTTTCCAGTGGTTGGGATTTGTTTCCGAAGGAATAGTCTAAAAGAAAAAAAAAAAGTAAATGCAAAGATTTGTTTTGCTTTATTCTTAGAGCGCAGCTCTTAGGCGCCCCTTTCCGGCTTGAGCGGCGTCGCCGTCGCCGTCGGCGTAACCGCGCGATGTATGATGGGTAAATTTCCCCGCTAAATTTAGCGGAAATTTTTCCCCGCTAAATCTAGCGGAAAAATTTCCCCGCTAAATTTAGCGAGAATTTTTTAGCTAAATTTAGCGGAACATTTTTCCTTAAATGGGGGCGAGCAGGAGAAGAGGAGGGGCATAGCCCTTTCTCCGTACCTTCCCCTCCTCCTCCTCAAGAGCTGCGCTCTAATTCGGCGTTACAAGGAGTTGTAAACGGCTTTCATTTTGTTTAGCGGGAGCACGTACAGTGTTTGCAACCTGTTCAGGTTTAAAAGCGTAAAAAGGAAATAATGAAGCAAAAACAGTTGCCACATTTTTCCATTCAGTTTTATTTTGACCCGTTCGCTGCCGCGACATTCCGGCAGTTTGAGATCCCGAACCACGGGCCTTTCCATCGGATGGTAAACATTCATCCTCTGAGTTAAGTTCCAGTACCGCCAGAGCAACCGACATGCGAAGCGACTATTCCGCGCGTATCACGTGCGCCAAAGAGCGTCTAATTTCCAAAGTATAAATAGCCCCAGAAAATACGAAACACCGTGCTCACGAAACGCTTACAGTTCACCCAAGACAAAACAAATAGCAGCACCTTCCGCCGATGCGCCCACTCTCAAATGCGTAATCGCCGCCATACATGTAGGGCGACGACCGTCAAAGGAACTCATGGTCTCGGTCTCGTGTTTTTCAGACGGAGCGTCGCAGTGCCATGCGAGGGTGCGGCAGAGCGCCCCCGCAGCGTCGCTGAATGGAGGCGGCCCAGCGCCGGTGCAGCGCGGACGCAGCCCCGGCCGCGCCGCCTGCCCCGCAGCTCAAGGTGCCCACGGCCACGCTCCAGGTGCCCAGGCACCGGAGCCTGCCCTCGGCCGCCGCCGCCGGGCCCCCAGACCAGGTGCGTCAAGAGGGGCTTCGCGGGGCCACTGCCAGTTTCACCTGGTTTGCTCGCTTTCCAAAGCGAACCTATACACGCACTTACAAAAATGATCAATGAGTTTCGAGTGAGTTACTAATGTATTCCTATAGAGCCAGTTGAAACCAGACTTGTACACGTTACTGAAAAATAGTAAGGAATTACATTTACAATTACTCAAGGCTAAATTGTAATTTATTACAATTACAATTATCCTCCCATAAAAGTAAGTGACCGTTACCCCAAAAAGTAATCCGTTACTTTTCTGGCGTTACTTTCAACAATATCGTCTTCAGCTAAGAAACAAAGGGGAGTCGGTTATTCAAGTTCTTATTGTTGCAGCCTGTCCCATTTAATGACCCTGAGTATTTTGAGCAGCGGCTGACTCTCGAAAGTCTCGTCCGACATTTTCCGTTATTTTTTACTCAGTATGTAAACTGCTACGCTGAACACCCTTTGAACTGAGGCACTGGATGGGAGTGCCCTTTTGTTCCTCACGAATGTTTTATACTCTGCATTGGGCTTCTGCAGCGAAGCAATAGAAGTACCATTCACCTGGAAGATTGAGCAAAGCTTCGTCGTTGTAGAAAGCGCCTGATATTCGAGAGTTTAAGTAGATCGCTCTTATACCTCCGATACCATCGATAACAATATGATGAATGCGAAAAGGCGGCAGCGGAGTATCGGGTATCCTTCTCGGAGTCATCGGACCGATCTACTAAAATTCTCCATTGTCGAAATCGCGAAGCTGTAGAAGTCATCATACATTTAGCCGAAACTAGAAGACAAATTGATTTATATCCATCTTAGTATAGCGGCCCATATTGCTAGACAATAGCAAAACATAGTTGTAACAGTAAGGTGATAATTGAGTAATAAATAAGGTTTGGCTCGATATTCTTCTTCCATTGGTTCTGACCATGTCGAGCCTCGGTTGAGACGTTGGTGAATAAAAAAAGGTTTCCAGTATATAAATATAGGTAATAAAAAAAAAAGTAGACTCATAACAACAATTAATTAGAACGTCGATTAAAACAAGGAAATGTAAACGTACGTTTGCCGTGCGTACCTTTTTGGATGCCGTTCAAAAACGCATGGAGCACGAACCGACTGCAATTTACTCCGGTGTTCTCCAGATAGACGTCCACTGATGTCACGGGCAGCGAAGGGCAGAGTACTAAGTAACCCGCGCTCATGAGTTTCCCTCTCTCCTCAAGCCCAGAATATGAAGTCTACGTTAGACACCAGTATGTTTAATTTGTGAAAATATCGGCTTGAGATAAGATGCGTACTGCTGGGGTAAAAACAGGGAGAAGAACGCTGAATCACGAAAAGGGTGACTGAGAAGCAGATAACCTGGCTGGAATTCACAAATAAAGTGGGCCAACCCTAGAAGTTGGACTACAAAAAACCTAAGAGAAGATGATAAGTGTGCAGCAACCAACGAGGATGCTTGTGACAATAACACCTTCACATATTATCACACCTCTTTTAGCGGATTTTAGGGTAGGCGGAGGAGCGTTGTCTCGTGTTGTGACATTATAAAAATGGTCGTAGTAGGACATTGTTAATTATTGTCGGTGCACTTACCTCCTCGAGCTTCTCGAAGAGGCACACAATCACTTGGTGTCCTCCTCTTCCCGTCTTCGATCGCAAAACAAAACAAACAAAGGGACTAAAAAAGCGGATGCCCCCCCCCCCCTTTTTTTTTTTTTCTTTTTTTGTAGAAATGCTTATTTAGATTACTTGACATTGTTTTTGGGGTCTAAACAAATGGATTCAGGGGCTTGGTGTTGCAAAAAAATGCTTTGCGGAACTGAAGACTGCCAAGTCTCCGTTTGCGCAGGTCAATTCGCGTGACAGTGTCACCGCGCCTCGACTTTACCAAAAAAAAAAAAAAAAGCTTTCTTTAGAAGAAGGGGGGGGGGGGGGTGGTCCTGTGAAAAAAATGTCACGGATTACAAGGAATCCGCTACGTAAAAATGTAAGGGAATTACTTTAAAATTACTCTAGAAAATATGTAATTATTATGTTACTAAATTACTGATAAATGTAAGGGATTACAAGTAATTTCGTTACTTGTAACGGATTACGTACAAGTCTGGTTGAAACTCGATATAAACTCAACATTTAATGAGTTTGAAATAAGAAACTCAATATCGATTCCGTTGAATTTACTCATTAGGAATGCAATTGAGTTCCGTCATAAGAATGCATTATACATTCTTTCGAATTTACTCATCAAGAATGCGATTGAGTTGGCTCATTATGAACTCAAATCCATTCATTTAAATTTACTCCTTAGATATGCAAACGAGTGTGGGTTTAGCGACTGCACTGAACGATCGTTCCTTGTACCAATGGGATTTTTAGAGCGCAGCTCTAAGGCGCCCGTTTCCGGCTTGAGCGGTGTCGCCGTCGGTGTAACCACGCGTTGCGTTATGGGAAACGTCCCGTAATGCAACGCGCGGCTCCCCGTTATAACACGGAGCTCCAGCGGCCGTAAGGACCTGCCTAGACTTAGCGAGGAGGAGGAGTAAGGCCTGCCCCGTCTCACAGCTTTATATTTTATAATAATAATAATAATAGTCTTTATTTTATGTGTCCACAAACAGCGCAGGGCCTTTTGTGTGGTACAAAGCAAATGCCGACAAGATAAAAGTATAAGCACTGAAAAAACATAGCTATCCTAAGAAAGCACTCACAAAACAAACGTACAACACATAGTGACATGTGACAAGCAAGATAAAGTAAAGGAAGAAGAGGCACTGAAAACACAAATACAGCAACCCCAAAAGAGCAAAAATCGATCAAAATTGGAAACCACTGGGATCATGCAAACAATATATACTCTCTAGATTACGCCGTAAAGTTGACTTGTCACTGAATATTTCTAGGAGCCAACAATCCAGCGGTGTGAATACCACTCCAGACTGCAGCATGACCCTCCAGGTTCAAGGATAATTTAGGGGACATCGAAGAGACAATGGGACAGGATGATCGGTCGGATCAGTCCCCTATACTTCTTCCATCTTCTACCGTAGTTTTGTGTTTACATGCGCACAAAATGTGGCACGTCGGAGCCCGCCCCCCCCCCCCCCCCCCCCCCCCGGGCCTTTCCCCACAAAAGAAAATACAACAAAAACGTGCATTTGCTTTTTATACGTTATTGGTAAGCAACACAGACAGCATCATAAATTTAAAGGTAAGCTGGAGAGGTTCTAGACAAAAACGAGTGAGAGGTGAATTCTAGCGTATTTCTGTCTTGAGTATTTGAATATCACAAGCGTTGACCTGAACATATCAATAGACACGAAAAAAACCGAAGAGCCAACCGCCAACGTCGCCAACCGCAGGGTCGGTGACTTCACACCCAGAAGTTTCAGCTGCCTTGCGCGTGCCGCTTGTGAGGGAACACGTGCAGCGCTTTTCACCGCTCGGGTAAAGCTTGCTGAAAGTGCGGAAATGTTGAGATCTCTGTATAATCAATACATCATGATTCCCTCCTCGCAACGAACGCGACGGGAAGGAGGGGCTTCGGCGCTATTCTGAAAGCACAGTTGAGGCTACTTGGCGCTCCAATCTGAAATATAATTTAGATATTCGCTATTCTGGAGGCAAAAGAAAGACGATTTAAGAGTTTTTTTTTTTTTTAAGTACATAATTGCTTCATTTACCCCTTAAGGAAAGTCACATATTTGAAAATGCAGGCACGGTATTTGGCCGTGACGGGATGTCGTGAAGTGAGGTTGGCAAATCGAAACCGAAACTGTTGCCAATAGTATCCCAAGAGGCTTTGCGCGGAACTACGCTGCTAGGATTACTTCGATATTGCAAGACGTCTATTGGTTGTTCGATCACCTTATTATTCTTTTTTTACTTGTTTCAGTTTCAATGGAGTGAACATAAGAACTGACCAGTACAAAGCGGCAACCCATGTGTGCTTTGAATACGTTTCCGCCATCAAAACGAGCCAAACTCGCGAGAAAAAAAAAAATTGATTGGATCACACTCCGAACCGATCTCACCAGCCTGTTTAGCTACGCCACCGCTGCCGCAATGCAGCCAAAGAACTTTAGTCTGCCTGCACGGGCCGTAACCTCGCTGAAGCTCTGCGCTTGCGGAGCAAAAGACATCTCGGGCACGGCCATGCATGTGTAAGAATCCCCGTGGGCACGGCCGCCTGCCTCCTCTGAACTAAAGTTATGTCGGCTTCACCATAGCCTCCTCTATACTCACAAAGCCATGGCAGCTCGATGACGGAGCCATAGAGTGCCCGGTCAAAGATTTGGAGCGCGAGGATCTTGTAGCACAGAGCATCGAAAAGCCATTTCTCGGGGAACGTGGACGTCAGCGCACAACATTTGCAGCGGCGAGGTCCCAAAACACACTTGTTCACTCACGGCCGGACTGGTTCGTTCGGGAGAAGTGTGTTTCGGCGTCTCGCCGCAGCGGGGTGCCAATCACGTGGCTCTCCTCTCGTCCGTTGTCTGCCGCTCCACCTTTTTCATTTCGGCGCCGCTTTTCGTGGCGATCTGCCAGGCTTTGTCAGTATATAGGAGGCTATGACTTCACGCATGCGCCGACTACCTGGTGAGATCGATCGTTTCGTTTCGTACCTACGTCTCGAACGTACAGGTCTCAAATACCATCCGCTTGGTGGTATAGTCGACTTCTTTCATCAGTCTTACTGCCCGGACATCGGTGATTCGAAGAAAAAAAGTTTATTCTCTTTCTCAAGAAGGCCGCCATTAGTTTGGCACGGATGCCATAGATGACAGTGATCAAAATTATTGCCAGACTGAACATGGAGGCGCCAAAGTTGATATTTTTTCGAGGTGACCATCGGGTGCAACTCCAGAAAAGGCGGCGTCGCCTAGCGAAAAAGACGTGAAAAAGAGAATCGAGTGGGCAGCGGACGAAGCTGGCGCGACCTGGCGCCTGATTCGTGAAACGGCGGAAAGCTGAGAAAATTGAGTATACTCCGCTAGAGTTACGAATAGGAATTTTCGTGCGGAGGGCTCGTAACCTTCACCTTCAATTCAAGTAGTCCCTCACTACTCGTCATACGCGTTGCTATAGAGTCTAGCGCATGCCGGAGGAGTCCGTCGACGAGTACGGAGTTGTCTGCCTGGTCGCAGGGTGACTTGGAACTCCTGGAGAACGGTGTTCCGACGCCGTCCAATCGCAGCAGCACCTGCTCGGAGATCGTGCGCATCGAACAGATGGCCAGCGACCAAGACTCGCAGTCCGAGACCAAGCTGGGAAAATACATCAGCAGGATCAGGGTACGCCCAGTGATGTCCCGTTCCTCGTTCTTTATTTTGGCGTCAAGGGGTTTCCGAAAAGGACACTTTTGACTGCCTAGATTGTTTTGCCTGCCTGCCTCAATGTTTTTTTTTTTGTTTTTTTTTGTTTTTTTTTTAAGAAAACCGCTGGTCAAAAACTGGCCGCTCACGGCTCTCTCGCACTTCTTTTGCTCAGTCAGGCGTGGCGACTGATGTGGCGACGCACTCACCTGCAGACCGCATTTGTGCAACTTTGACCGCTTAAAAACAATAAAACAGTTTGTGAAGCCTAAAACAAAATACACCTTGAACGTATTTAGAAGTCCACCGAGTCATCTACTCAGTTATTTGCCGAGGGCCTTAGGTCACTACCCGGTGCCCAGTGTCAACATCGTGCGCACTTCGCGGGTCTGTTCGTCTAGCTTTTGTTTTTAAAAGCTTTTCTTCACACTGCCTTTTTTTGTCGGTATACACTCTTTTCAAAACTCTGTGATATGTTCTTTAGTAGAGCACTCGTTTATGTTTGCAGGCAACGTTAATTGGCGTTTTATAAAATTCTGTTATGTATTTTGATGTCCCGGCCGCTGTCCAATCCAAGAAGACGAACAAACGCACACATACAGCCTATAAACCCACTTTTTGCGCTTGAATAGATGGGCTGACGGATAACCACGTACAAAAAGACAGCGAACCGTGCATGACGTTGCGCTTTCAATGTAACTGCATTGGCCCTCAAGCAAGTGTGGAGGGGAACTAGCTGTTTCAATACTGACATGTGGTAACCCAGGAGCGGGGGGAAAGGGGACGGACAAGAGAACGCTCCGAGATTGGAGGTTTGTGTTGTTCGTCCCGTCTTCCCCTACTCCTGGGTTGCCGTGCCATTGGCCCCTGGGTTCGTAAAGTCGGCTGCGCTCGGATCTAGCGGAAACGGGCTGTAGCACCAGTTCCACTCCGTCAGCCATTCGAGTGGGCGCACAGAGCGTTCGGCTCGACCCGTGTTCAATGGGCCAGGACACGAGTCTTACACCCTGCACGAGCCCGAGCTGCCGAACGCGTGTTTAATGTGTGCCCCGCACTAGCCTCCGATGGAGGACTTCTAAAATCTCTGGTTTTGTTTACTAGAGGAGGCCTACGTCATACTCCCAGAACGATGGTGAACGAAAGGGGGAAGCAGAATGTACTCTAGACGTTTGCAGAGTGAAATAAAATGCGTTAGCGCGTCGGCCTCTGAGAAATGAGTGGTTCGACAGACGTGCATACATCCTGCTTTTGACTTAAAGGCAGACGTGCCAGTAGCGCTGAATACCAAAGCAAAAAACATCCCCCAGGAGTACGTTAAAAACCTTCCTTCTTGACGATAGTGCGTAGCTTTAGATATACATTGGTTTGCTCAGGGCCTGAAGAAATGGGCGGTTCGACACAAGAAGCACAAGGAACCGGACCGTCCGGATTCTTTCCTGGAGAAGTTCGCCATGGGCCAGATGGGCGAGGAAGGCGGCGACGCCCCCAAAGAGGAACCGGGCACCAAGCAGAGGTGAAGGCACACCTGCTTACACGTTTTCCGCCTGTGTCCGCGGAGTTCATTTTCTTATCCCATTCCGTTTATACCCGTCGAATAAAATTAGTCGGCAGGTACACAATGTAGTCCAGAGGTTGGAAGGAAAAAACAGCGGTATGGACCGAAAACAAATGGTAATTACTTTACGTCAGAGAGTTGTCTGCGGGAAACATTGTCAACCATTCCGGGAAATCCTTGTGTAAGTGCACCTAAGCTTCCCAAGTCATTGACATTTGAATTGAAGACATGTCTAGTCTGATTGAGCGCCGGTGCAGCGCTTGTCCAAGGGGGGACACACGGACAGCTTGGACACCTTCCTAAGCTAGACAGTTCACGCACGTCCGAATCAGAAATACTTTCTATTAGGTACTACTAATATAAAATAATTAGTGGAGTTGTCCCTCGTAATGGTATAAGATAGAGCTTTTTTATTATTATTAATATGCTCGGTCTTCGTTGCACGCTACTAAACAAAAAAAAGCCTCTCACAGACCATTGCCTTCTTTTTCTGTAGTTTTTTCGAGAAACACAGGCAGTCCTTCGTGGTGGACCCTTCGGACAACTTCCACTACCGCTGGCTGTCGGTCATCAGCGCGGCGGTGCTGTACAACGTGCTGGTGATTGTCGGCCGCAGCGTGTTCTGGGAACTCCAGAACGCCATGCCCGTGGCCTGGTATGTCTTCGACTACACCTGCGACGGCATCTACCTTCTCGACATGGTCTTCCACGCGAGAACGGGTACGTTGGCGGGTTGGCTGCGCAGACCTTTATGGTGGAAAGTGTAGGGTGTCCAAAGTCACCAGGCTCGGTCTAAAACGGACCGTAAAAATCAACGCCTGCTCGTAGAGCAATGTGAACTTTTCGTCAAAGGTTATTTCACAAGTCGGTTTTTTTCTTCTTTTACTGTAAAATTGCAAAGCGTAGCTTCCTTTCTCTAATAATAGGACCAAGAAACTTGCTAGGGTGTACGTCGGACGGTGACGGAGACAACCAAGGCGAGTTGCGGGGTGCGTTTGGCACGCGTATTGATAGATGGCGTCTGGAGCAGCGTTCAAATAGAGTTCCTGTATAGGCTCCCTACGGGAGCCAGAGTTGCGCATTTGTTTTCCCCGCGCCGCCACGCCGCTATTCGCCGAGATCCATCACGTGAGGAGCAAAGCATCCGGTGGCGTGCAAGAAAGCCACCTTTACGGTCGCTCCGCCGACGCTTCTCTTGCCCCGGCCGTATGTTTCCCTGTTTTCCGCCTCCTTTTCCTCCTCTCCTGTTTTCCATGCGCGGCGGCGCGCGCGGCACGGCTATTCGCCAAATTTAGTCACGTGAGGAGCAAAGCATCCAGCTCGTGCGGGAAAGCCGGCGCTACGGCCACGCGCCGAGGCTGAATGCGCAACTCTGCTACCGTAGGTAGCTATACAGGAACTCTACGTTCAAAGGTGCAGCCGACATAGCGAAAGAAAGAAGCGACACGCAGACAAAATCCGTTGGCAGCAAAAGCGCCGTCGTTTTTTTTTTTTTTCTTTAACTTTTGCTCTTCTTGTTTGCATTTATTTTTTAACCAAAGGTACATTACACAAATATTATGTTAATTTTAATAAACCATCCATGGTCGCGTGAAGGAGGTAGCGCCATCTATCAATAGGAGCGCCAAACCCGCCCCGCTACTCAATTTGGTCGTCTGCGTCGCCGCCCGTCGTGGATCCAGGCAAGTTTCTTGGCTCTATTTTTTTACAGAAAGAGAGCTACGCTTTGGAATTTTACAAGAAAAAAACCGACCTGTAAAATACACCTTTGACGAAAAGTTTAGATTGCTCCGTGCAGGCGTCGATTTTTACGGTCCATTTTAGATTGAGCCTGGTGACTTGAGACACCCCAAGTATCTGTTTTTAGATTACAATCTTTACGTCCTCCCCTTACAAAAATATTTATCCCGTTTCTACAGAATTTTGTAGAAAATATTGTATAAAGATTATAGATACTGTAAAGAAAATGTATCCACTTTCTATTTACTGCCAATAGTTTTTGACCGCTCGATTGTGGAATTTTTATATAACTCTGTGATAGAGATTACATAGGAATTGTAAAGAAAGCAGATATAGATTCTAACTGCGTTTCTATCCCCTTTCTATAAATAACTTAATCCGTTTTTTTTTTGTTTTTTTTTTTTGCGAAAACAGGAATTATATTCGGAACATTAAACATTAAAGGGGCGCTAATGTGCTTTTTGAGATCCTTGTTTTATTGTCGACTCAATCTCAATTTACGAGCTCTAGGAATCCTAAAAACCTGAAAGTACATTTAGGCGCGGCCGATTCGCATATTTAAAAAAAGTTGTAAAAGATTCCGACATTTACCGCTCGTGCAGAACGACAGATGGCGCTACCGCGGCCGCTCGTCCATGCGGGAACCCATCGCGTGCGAGTGGCTGACAAGCGGCGTCCGTCGTTCGACCATATTAAGCGAGGTTCGGTAGCGCCATCTGCCGTTCTGCGACAACGGCAAGTGTCGAAATCCTTTATCAATTTTTAAATATGCAAATCAGCCGCGCATGGATGTAATGTTCTGTTTTTTAGTATGCTTAGAGCTCGTAGATTGACTGATGACCATAAAATAAGGATCTCAAAAATCACTTTAGCGCCCCTTTAATATTAGGGTTGTCACAATAAATCCATGGAAACACTTGGCTTGGGCACACACACAGACATCACAAATACACACGCCACGGAGCGCTCGCAACACTAGTTATTCAGCAGAGTTGAATGCTTTATCCCATATATAGGGTGCCCCAAGTCACCAGGCTTGATCTAAAATGGACCGTAAAAATCGACGCCTGTACGTAACAATCTAAACTTTTCTACAAAGGTGTATTTCGAAGGCCGGTTTTTTTAGTAAAGTACTAGGCGTAGCTCTCTTTCTGTACAAAATAGGGCCAAGAAACTTGTCAGGGTCAACGGCGGGCGGCGACGCAGGCGACCCAGTCGAGTAGCGGGGCGGTTTTGGCGGTCGTGTTGATACATGACGCTACCTCCTTCAGGAGACTGCTTGCGACCACCATGTTTTATTTAAATGAACATAATATTTTTGTAATGTACCTTTGGTTAAAAAAGAAATGCAGACAATAAAAGTAAAACTTAGATGAAAATAAAACGCATTCGCATAACGACGGCGCTTTTGCTGCCAACGGATTTCGTCTGCGTGTCGTCTGCTTTCTTTCGCTGGTCGGCTACATTTTCGGACGCCGCTCCAGGTGCCATCTATCAATACGCGCGCCAAACGCACCCCTCAACTCGACCTGGTCGTCTGCATCGCCGCCCGCGCCGTAGACCCTAAAGTTTGTTGGCCCTAATTTTTTACACAAAGAGAGCTACGCGTTGTAATTTTACAGGAAAAAACCCAACCTGTGAAATACACCCTTGACGAAAAGTTGAGATTGCTACGTGCAAGCTTCGATTTTTACGGTCCATTTTGGATCGAGCCTGGTGACTTGGGACACCCTATATACAGCAGGGTTGAAAGCTGGGCAAGTTGGAAGTGGCTCATGATGAAATTATGAGCGCACAAAAAAACAGGACAAGAAAGGGGACACGTACGAAAGACAAGCGCTTGTCTCGTAGGTGTCCTATTTTTTGTCCTGGTTTTTGTACGCTTTTTATTTCACCATGCATTTGAAAAGCAATAATTTGAACGAACCCCAGAAGATAAAAAGATTACGAATATGTTTTTTTTTTTTCTCGCCAAAAGTTTATACGAAATGTGGCTTCTAAGGCTTGGTGAACTGTGCCTCTAACCATAAAGCATCACAAAAAAGGATAATTATTTGACACAGTCGGAAAAAATAGCCTCCGCAAGGAGGTTTCAACTGGGTCTGATGACGCTTCTCCGCAATGCGCCTTGATATTCTATGGAGTCTACTCTGTAGAAATAATTTAGAAACATGGTTAAAGAAAGTCTATTGAGACGTGGCCATATTTATTATAAAGCATTTCTATCGTCTTTATAGACTCCGGTTAAAATAAAGTCTATAGAAAATCTATTGAAAATTGTCGATACGACATGACTGTATGGAAAGTTCAAAGGGTCGTTAAAGTTTGATAAGTTTTCTATAAACTGCCTAAGTTCTTTTCTTTTGTAATGGTTTGCGGTTTAGATTTGTTGGACCACCCTTCTTGCCCAGCCTTTACTTCACAGTCGCCGGAGTTTAGTTTAATCTAGGTCTCTTTCCACGCGTTATAAATTGTTGTATTCCTAAAATTTGGAGAGACACTTCGAGGCGTTCACTGGCCGTAAGGAACGTCCGTGTCGCGGAATCGAGAGCGAGCTGACAGCGAACTTTTTTTTATTTCACATCGAGGCTCCTGCTCTTTACAAACAAAATATTCAGTGCTCAGAATATTCATTGCGGGAAAATGAACTCAGCTGTCGGTTTTATTATAATAAACTCAAAACCAAAACTAAAAGCGGTAGCGTTTTTTTTAACAGTTTTTGTGTTGCGTAAGGGCTCACTCATAAGTACTTGACTTCGCTAGAAGTTAAGGTCAAGTGAAGTATACATATACTGGGTCATCCATAGACCAATATGACATGTTGTCGACGCTCTTATATTCGCAGGCTACCTCGAACAAGGGCTCCTCGTTCGCAACACGCGCAAGCTGATCAAGCAGTACACCACGTCGCTGCATTTCAAGTTGGACATCCTGAGCCTAATCCCGACAGACCTCTCGTACTTTTTCTTCGGCGTCGAGTGTAACGTCCAAGTCCCCTGCGTTGTGATCGTTCGTCTGAATCGGCTCTTCAGGGCCTATCGAATGCAAGAGTTTTCTGACAGGACGGAGGCACGGACCAACTTTCCGTACGCCTTCCGCATCGGCAAACTCATCTTCCTCATTCTGGTGATCATCCACTGGAACGCCTGCCTCTATTTCGCCGTGAGCTACGCCATTGGCTTCGGAACAGACAGCTGGGTCTACAAGAACATCACCCTTCCTGTGTACAGTACCTTGAGGCACCAATACATCTACAGCTTCTACTGGTCTACCTTAACCTTGACTACCATTGGGGAAGTGCCTATTCCGGAGAAGGATCCAGAGTACGTCTTTGTGGTCATAGACTTTCTCGTGGGCGTTCTCATCTTTGCCACTATCGTCGGCAACGTCGGCAGCATGATAACTAATATGAACGCTGCCAGAGCCGACTTCCAGCATCGCATGGACAGCGTCAAGCAGTACATGGAGTTCCGAAAGGTCAGCAAAGAGCTCGAGAACCGCGTGATCAAGTGGTTCGACTATCTCTGGACGAATAAGCAGTCTCTGGACGAGGACAAGATTACGTCCATGCTTCCGGACAAGCTAAAGGCGGAGATTGCCATTCACGTCCACCTGGACACTCTAAAGAGGGTGAGGCTTTTCCAAGACTGCGAACCTGGACTCCTAGTACAGCTGGTCTTGAAGCTAAGGCTGCAGGTCTTTAGCCCTGGAGACTACATATGTCGAAAGGGAGACGTCGGTAAAGAAATGTACATTGTCAAGAGGGGTAAGCTAAGCGTGGTGGGTGACGATGGACGCACAGTGTTTGCGACGCTGAGCGACGGCAGTGTCTTCGGAGAGTTAAGCATTCTGAACATCTCCGGCAACAAGACGGGCAACAGAAGAACGGCCAACGTCCGTAGCGTGGGTTATTCGGACCTTTTCTGCTTGTCCAAGGAAGATCTCTGGATTGTTCTGGAGGAGTACGCCGAGGCAAAGAAGATGTTGATTGAACGAGGAAGGAACATTCTTCGGCGGGACGGACTCCTGGACGAAGAGGCCATCAAGGTCGCCGAAGAAGAGCAAGAGACGCTGAAAGGAAAGTGCGAGCGGCTCGAGAAGTCGCTGGACCATCTGCAGACAAGGTTCGCAAGGCTGCTCGCCGAGTACATGGCGTTCCAAGTAAAGATGAAGCAGCGGATTACCAAGCTGGAGGGCAATAGTGCGGACGATGAGGACAAGGAGCCGCCTTCTGCGGACGACGAGGACTTGGCCACTCAGAGTGGTCGGGAGTGAATTCGGTTCTTTATTCCTCAATCGAGACCGCGGCTGGTTTGAACCATGGCCATGGTCTGAGTACTTTACACCAGGGTCCGGCGCAAACCGCGGTACAACACCACAATTGTTTTTTTTTTTTTTCACTTGTAACATATCGCAAGATTAATATTTAAGCCAATTATTTTAAGGTGCAGGCTACAGCTAAGTGCATTGGAAAATAACGTGATTCTTTTTGTTCAATTCTACTTTGACAAGATATAATGCAAGTCTCGGGGTTTTAAAACATTTATAAACGGGAAACTTTTTTTTTTTTTTTTTGCTTTTAAAAATAGTTAGAAAAAAAAAGACTTCACTTTCTGGCAGACCAAAACATGTCGGTAGTTAACGCTGTACAGTTGATATTTCTCTATAAAAAGCAGACCAATAAGAGGCTGCAATATCGACAACGACGACGCCTTGACAAATCTAAAAACCAAAAAAACTTTTTTTTTTTATGGCCTAAGACGCATTTGCACAATATTTCGACCTAAAGCCGCTCGTCGACAAATGTTTCCGCGTGTAGAATGTGCCAGAGACGCTTGCCGGTGAGTGATGTTGCGGGTTAGTTGTACATAAAGCCTTTCATTCGCATAGGAGACGATATCCTGCGTACGTGCCTGAACGAGAGAGCAATTTCTGTGGACCAAGAACTGTTTCTTTTTTTTTTTTTTTAAGTTGAGGGACAACGTAACCTCAAATGTGTGTTCTCTCTTCTCCCTCGCATTCTTTGTGTTTGTTGCTGGTGACCTTGCCGCAGCGCACGATTCGCCGATAATTCGCAGTGTTAGAAATACGCGTTTGCTTGGGCGCTTGTTATTTGACTGTGGTGAAGGTATGGGCGCTTCATTTAGCACTGACACATTGAGTGGACATTATTTCTGTGGACTTTGTTACTTTGGCTTTACTGAATAACACCCATTAATATAAGCCGAAATTGGCGCCAGAAATGTAGGTAGCAAACGTTTTGATTTACTATTCGCGTCACTTCTAACTAAGCCCTTTTCAAAGATAGTACTCGCGTTTCAGTGAATATCCTTGTAAGGCGTACACGCGAAAGCTGTCCGTCAACGAGTGTTTTGGCACTTCTTTTCTAATGATATTAGAGAGTGCATTAACCTTGGTTCTTGAAACGGGGGTACTTGTAAAAGTCATGTATTCCCCATTCGCTTTTAGATTCAGAGGAAGGCCCAAAGACCTTAATTTGATTATGGGATTTTCAAATTCGAAAGAATATGTTCGGAGCACTATTGAAGGTAATGGAGTATCGCTTAGGAAAACCAAAGTCAGTGTTATACTTTCTGCAGACAAAACATTATGGTGAAGAAAGACACGTAGAACAATTTCAACCATTTTTTAGGACTGCACTGAGAATGATTCATGCGTTCGCCAATTTTTAATTCATTCGCCAGTAAGAAAATTGTCATGCGAGTAAGACAGCAATGATTTTGAATTCAGTACTTTTCTATGGTTCGTTAAGTTTTGTTACACTGATTACATGTGTTTTGTTCGCCGTAAACACCGCACGTATTCTCTTTGTTTTCCATGACGAGTGCATGATCAAAGGGCGACATTTTATGAGTACAATTATTACTCGTGTTTGTCCAGTAGGGCACCAAGCATATTTCAAGAGGGTGGATAAACATTGCATACTTGCAGCGCTTCTCTAATACATCGACACCTGTTCCGTCCACGACAATGTTACACACGCCGCGAACATTGCTTTCTGTAACAAGCGTTCCAGTCGCTGCACTCACAGGGTGCGCTTCGCCACCCCAAATTAAAACGTTTGACTCGATGCACGAAAATTCAAATGCTGGACTTGGAAAACCTGTCACTCCGCTCGCAGATGCAGGTTAATCCTGTGGCGATGCGAAATCAAATATGGCGCTTGAAAAACTTCTCCCACCTGGAGCATGCTGGGTTTGTAGTTCCACGCGCTTCACCTGCTGGCATCTGCCAGAAGTAATTTTCAAAAAAAGCTCTAGAGGCAAATTGTATTTTGCAAGCAATTAAGCAGAGGCGAAGCCGGGAATTTTTTGGGGGGCTGGGATGTCCATGACTTGGAATGCGGACAGGGGGAGGGAGGGTCGAAATGCATGTGTATATTATGGGGTCGGTTGGACTTCGGGGGCGTCTGAAACCCCATAAGCCTTCCCCCTGGCTACGCCACTGATGCTGGGAGTGTAACATGTAGCTACACTCCCAGCATGCTATTTTGCAAATGGTCAGTTGAATATCTGCATTGAGGTTTGACGATACTGGTGAATATCTTTGGACGAGCTAGTGAAAAGCGAGCGAAAACCTGCAGGGAGCTGAACGTGCACCAGTCAAAAGTTAGCTTTTAACCGCACGCGAGACGAGGTTTGAACGGACGGTACGTAGATTCTTCGAGCCTTTCCGTGCTGCACGTTGCGCTAACCACGGGGCTAACACATTCAACATCTACTTTAGCCGAATACGGTAGAGAAACGCAATAACGTACTTCCTGCCTCTCGGATTTTAGAACTGGGTTACGAAAAAGACAAAAAGGCGACCTTAAGTTTTATGTGGACTGTTTGGTTCGTCTGCTTTCAGACTAGCAAATCTCTTAAGTCAGAAACGTATTTTACCGTTGTCTTAGCTCGGTCCAAAATGATATTGTCTACGGTTGCACCCTGTCGCGTCATTGCATATTCAAACGGCACTGTGTTTGGCTTCTGTCTTCTGTGACTAGAAAGAAGCACCACGACTGGTGGTGACAAGTCACGTGGCCGAATAAATCAGCCATTAAGGAAGCTCCGGTGTAAGCCCCTTTGTTCGCAGGACTATCGCTTTGGGGAGAGGGCGCACATGAATGAAGGGATGCACGACGTGTCCAAAACATATCTTATTCCATTGTTCACTGAAATCTATTGGCGGAGAGATGTTTTGGTGGCGCCACCTCGCGGGCGCCCGCCTGTAACCGAGCTGGTAGGATGCGAGCAGACGAGGTGTTATGGCAAAGCACGAAGTGGCTTTGTTAGTTCGCATCTATGCCGATTAAAAACGTTTTATTAAAAAAACACGTATGTACTTCTTGTGAGAATAATAGCTCCTCGAAGTTGGGTTTTCTTTTAGAAAATTTAAAATGTTCAAAAACAGGCCTTGATCTTCACATTACAGCTTGCGCGGCGTGCGTCAGGGCTATTCACAGCCTCTCTGATGCTTTTTTTTTTTTATCTGTGGAGGCTGTTGTAGAATAAAGGTTTTGCATTCATAAGAATAAATGACGTGCTGTCTTCTTAGCAGTGCACGCGCTCAGATGGTGTTGCAAAGTGCCGCACACTTGTTTTAGCTACATTGAGCTTGCCGATACCGACGCTTCTATCCAAGTGTGACTCGACAGTTGATGACAAGCATATTCTCGTCAGCAACTGACACTTAGTTCCTCACGCATCGAAAACAGGGCACAAAAGTTTGTCACATCGCGACTTCTGCTCGAAAAAAAAGCAGACATTATTAATTCTTACAGTGTCGGACCTGGCCCGGCAAATTCAGGCGATCGATTAATTTGTTCTATCCAATTTTTACTAATAATATACCTTATTCGAAATTGCTTGGTGGTCTGACAACACTGAGAGAAGATGGTGACCGTGCCGGGTTTCACCTTAGAAAATGGAGTCTGTGCCTGTTGTCCCGCACGCATGAGTGCCTAGAGTTGCACCAGAGAGAAGTGGGACGGGGGGCTGGTGCTGGACGTAGCCATGGGAAAAGGGGTGACTCCTGGTATGCAGGTAGACCCATTCTCACTTCTCACTGTTGACATTGGAGAACTCTCTCTGTCTTGCATGGCCACCCTCCACCGCTTCGTTGCACGGGAACAGGGGGTACCCGTATCTCGGGAAAAGTAGGCACCTGGGACAGTTGTTCGCTTTGGGGTTGCAGTGTATACCCCCGGTTGGTTGCTCAGCGAAGGTTGGTGTTCATTCACCTGAGTCTTTATTCGTAGATTCCTGACGTGAGGCACTCCGATATGGGGGGGGGGGGGGGGGGGGGGGGTGTCGTGTCCAACAGTCATCCCTGAGATGTCGTCAGTGACGCGCTTTCTTGGCAACATTTCTGTGTGTCCCATTCGTGGATAGCTCCCATATCACCACAGAATGCTCTGATACCGGCGTCCAACTTTTCCCCTCTTCTGAGATCTAGAAAACGGCTTGCCATAGCACCTAGTCGTTCTGTCACCACTCGGATACCTTCTTCGCCATACTGGAGTCCGTCCTTTTGCATCGCTCTATTGCTTGTCAGCTCACGGCTTAGGTCGATAAACCTTGCTTCGACGCTCTTCCATAGTTGTTTCAGCCTGGCGTGTATTCGTTTGCCTCTGGTGTCACTCTCCGGCACTGAACAGATAGCCAAAAGTGCCTTGCGGTTGGTCCATTTCATCATCAGACGCTCCACTATGCCGTCCAGTTGTTCACCCCTTAGTAAGTCACATGCACCCATATGTAGTATATACAGACGTGGCACGTTCACAGCCTGTTCTTCATACGTCTCGAGCAGTTCAAGCACCACCGGCGTCGTGGTGGTTCTGTTCATTACAAACTCCGAGCTTTTGGGGGGCTATGATCTCATCAATGAGCGCCCTAGCAATCCGTGCGACATCGTCATCTCCGGCGATAAATATTTATCGTTGTATCCCCCGGCGGAGGTCTGATCTCCTCTTTTTTATTTGTCGGCTGTATGCTGTCCATTCTCTTCTTTGCAATATCGGGGACACGTACGTTCCTCCGGGCCGAACTCGACTGTGCTGTCTCTGGGAGCTTCAGGATTGTGAGGGCTTTCTTGGATGTCGCCGTTGCCGCACTGTGTACCAATGTTCTTTAGTGCGGAGAGGATTCCATTCTGCTGACATTGAGTTAAATCGATGTTACTTCCCTCAGAAAGTTCATTTTCTGTTTCTTTCTCGGATCTGTAGAATTTATGATCTCATATATTGCTTCGACCTCAGGCTGGTTGATTTC